AGCCCCCATCAGTTGATGACAGGAAGCTGGTGTGACTCATCTGGTGTGCAAGTATGCCGCATTAAAAACGACTGTCCCTTTAAACTGAGGCAAAGGAAATTTCAGCCAGTCATCAACTATCTCATACCCAAATTCCTGAAATTTCTATGAATATGCATAACCCTCTTTCCTGAAACTTACAAAAACTGTAATTCTATTTAGATGCTGGGAGAGTCAGATTTGGGTACAGACCCCTGTCTCCTTGCTTGCCGCTTTGAAATAAATAATTTTCTCTCCTTTTGATCACTCAGTGTGTAAACTGTTTTGGCCCGACTGCGCATGGGACAGGGACCCGTATTTGGTCCTATTTCATGTTCAGTTGGACCCTTACTGAGTCTCTTTTGGTAGTGCCCCTGTGTGGCTCTTACGTAATTGTATGTGAAGATAAGGAAAAGGTGTCCACATGGGGCAGATTGGCATGGCTTCCTGGACACTAGTGGTGCTCCATTATCTCCCTTAGGGCTTCTTTCTCTCTGCTTGGCCCTGTAGGTCTGGTCCTTTCACAACCAGCCCCCCTTCCCTTCTCTTCTCCATCACTGCTGCCGTACCTTTTCCTAGATGACCCCTCATTTGATTTTCCAGGCTTGAAGAACAGATGATCTGCCTTACCTACCATTTTCTTTCCAATGTTTTATGATGTAAATTCTATGTTCTCCTTTCCTCTGCTCCTCTTTGCTTGACAGTGTATCTCCAAAGTTAAAAAACTAATAATTTCTTCCCTTTGAATATTAGGTGTCTGACATTCCTAATTTCCACCAGGTAGATGCAAATTTTGGTACTCTTCTAATTCTTCGGCACCCCCATCTCCCAACTCTATGCCCCCTCCCCAAAAAAAATAAACTCCATCAAGACAGAGACCATGACTGTCTTCTTGTTCACTATGGTATCCCCACCACCTAGGGCTGTGACTGGCACACTTGAGTTTAATTCCCCCAAACAGAAGCTCAGTACCCCTTACTCAATAACTTCCACTCTCCTCTTCTACCCCTGAATAACCAACCAACCAACTCACTGCGTCGAATTGGTCCCGACTCATAGAGACCCCTCCTTGGGTTTCCAAGGCATTGTCTCTATGGAAGTAGATTGCCCAGTCTTACTTCCGAGGAGTGGCTGGTGAGTTTGAACCACCAGCCTTCTGGTTAGCAGTCAAATGCCTTAGGCACTACGCCACCAGAGCTCCCCTCCCCCTGAATAGGATGTCTTTAATTTCTTTCAACAATGTTTTATAGTTTTCAGTGTATAAGTCTTTTACCTCCCTGGTTAAATTTATTCCTGGTGTTGAATAGGAAAATTAATAATAGACATCTCACTTTGACTTTAAGGTTTTCTTATCCATGAAACCAAATATTAACCATAAAAAGCCTGGCCCAAACTGCAAAAGCCTTCCAGAAACTGCTCTTCAGCCAAGTAAATTTGTCTTATCCTGTGACAAAAGGATAGTTGTCAAACTGTTGCCTCCTAATTTAAATTTCAAAAAGCCTTATGGCTGCAGGTGGATGGAGGGCTGGATTATTAGCAGCTAAACCAGAAGTAACCTGTTAACAGCTGATCTCAGTAAAGGGAGAAAGGCAAGTTTCAAATAATCACGTTAAAATTAGCCAATAACTAATCATCTATATTTTTCCCTCCTTTCCCCTTTATAAGCATCATTGTACTTAGCTTTTTCGAACCATGTGCTTTTTTCTGGAGACAGAATGGTCTCCCTGTATGCATATAGAATAAGTGCTCAGAATAAACCTTATGTTCAAATTTTGGTGAGTTTTGCTTATTTTTACACTAGGTTATTTTATTATTTTTTAGATATTATTACTGTAATTTTCAAATGCACTAATATATATTTTAAAATTTCTAATACAGTAAATATTAATATGAATAATCCATATGTGTAGGAGTATTTAGAATCTAAGGTGTTAGACAGTCTGTGGATGGCTAAAACAAAAGGCAGCCCAAACTCCATTTGGTCAGATGTGTAAGAGTATTTCAAAATTGAGGCATTCAGCATACTCAGAAATGACTGACTGAGGGTTGAATTAGACTCCATCTGAGCTCTGCAGATATCATTTTGTTTCAAGCCCTATTTCTACTGGTGGTACAGTGGTTAAGGCATTTGGCTGCTAACCAAAATGTCAGTGGTTTGAACCCACCAGGTTTTCATGGGAGAAAAATAAGGCAAGCTGCTTCAGTAACCAGACTCATAGTGACCCCTCCTTGGGTATCCAAGGCAGTATCTCTATGGATGTAGATTGCTTAACCTTCCTTCTGAGGAATGGCTGGTGGGTTTGAACCTCCAAACTTCTGGTTAGCAGTCATATGCATTATACTACCAGAGAGCTCCTAGTAAAGATTTATTGCCTTGGAAATGCATAGGGCAGTACTCCTTTGTTGTGTAGGGTCACTATACAGAGTCAGAATTGACTCAATAGTAGTGGGTTTTCCACAACTGTGGTTTCCAGCCAAACAAAGTACAGGCATGTGAGTTAAACATTTACCTCAAGTAGACACACGCCCTGGAGAGAACAATCATGGGAGAAGGAAGGGCTGCTTATGCATGGGGAGATAGCTCAGGGTGCAGAAGAGTATGGAGGGATGGACACTGGGAGGAGGTAACTATGGGGAGGAAGTGGGAGGGGAGCTGCTGCATTGTAAATTTTGGTCAATGACATGAGACAAAGTATATGTAAACTGCTGTATGAAAAGTGAATTTACTCTGTAAATCTTCACCCAAATCCTAATAATAATAAAAAAAAAAATAGTGGGTTTGGTTTTGGGAAGTGCACTTCTAAATCTGAGGTGCTTGGCATCATAAAAACTCCATTTTGTTTGTACTTCTGCTTCGGCTTTAAAGCTGTAACACTTGTATTAATTCAACAGTTTGCTTTAACGTGGATAGGCAAGTCTGGGCTGTCGGTAGGTCATGCAAGCTCAGAAAAGGTCAAGAAAATAATCTTTGCAAGAATGTGGCTATCCCTACACAAATTAAAGCAAGTCCAACAAGGTTTGATCAATCAGAATTTTGCTAAGAGGTTCCAGATTTCCTTAGCTTCAGCAAACTGGAGCACTCTGTAACTGCCTGGTTACTCTCTGCTACCCCAGATCATGAATCACCCTACCTGCAATAAATCCCTTTTGCTTTTATTTGTATTAGACTTCATGATTTTGCTCTATGACACATACAAAAACAAGATCTTTAGGGGCCTCAACTTTTTATTTTTTTATTGTGATTTGGGTGAAAGTTTACACAGCAAATTTGTTTCCCATTCAACAGTTCATACACATTTTGTTTCATGACATTAGTTGCAATCTCTGTAATGTAACAGCTCTCTTCCCATTTCCTCCCTGCGGTTATCATTTCCCTGTGTCTTTTCTTGTACATTCCTGCCCTCTGAACTATCTCCCTGTGCAAATGCAGCCCTTCTGATCTCCCATGGTTGATTGCTCTAATGAGTGTACCTACGTGGTATAATTATCCACTGTGTAGGCCTGTGTATTGTTTGGCTAGAAGCCGTGGGAGTGAGTTCAATTCCAGACCCAAAGAATGTCTGAGGACCTCAAATTTTAAGTGTAAAGAGGTCTCAAGACCAGAAGTGTGAGAGTCACTGGTGTGTTTCCTGTTTTGTTTTTTAATGAGCTGGAATATAATGTCTACACTTGGGTCTGACCAGGAGTTCAAAGATGATATGATTATCCCCGGCTAAGCTTCTGAAGGGAGCTCTGGTAGCATAGTGGCTAAGGCACTTGACTGCTAACTAGAAGGCTGGTGGTTCAAACCCACAAGCCACTCCTGGGAAGGAAGATGGGGCAATCTACTTCCGTAGGGATACTGCCTCAGAAACCCAAGGAGGGGTCGCTATGAGTCAGGTTCGACTCGACGGCACATAACAACAACAACAAGCTTCTGAAAGGACACAGGATTGTGGATAAGGACGACTAAGCAACAGATCAAGCATGGCTTTAATGTGGACTTTCACATGCTGGTGCTGTATTAGCTCAAAAAATGTGACATAAGGGACACATATGTCACTTGGCTTCTACACTTCACCCAGTGGCCTTGGGTTCAGTACCATTCAGAATTATATAGAACTGAACAGACCTTAGGAGCTCTGGTGGCATAGTGCCTAAGGTATTTGACTGCTAACCAGAAGGCTGGTGGTTCAAACCCACCAGCCACTCCTCGGAAGGAAGGTTGGACAACCTATTTCTAGTGATACCACCTCAGAAACCCAAGGAGGGGTGCTATGAGTTGGATCAGACTCCACGGCACTGCGTTGCGTTGTGCTGAACAGACAATTAAGCACTGTTGACTGACAATGAAGTCAAGTTCCACAACCCACAAATCAAGGGCTGCCCCACACACTCGAAGCAACTTCTGAGGCAAGAAACTGTTGAAAGCAAAGGTCACCACCAATGGTTTGGAACAATGCCGTTTCCAGGCAACTTCTTCTTAATTCATATAATCACTGCTTCTGTTCCTTATTTTAGTGAAAATTATACTCAGCTCAGGGAAAATTCTGGATGAATTCATTCAATGCCTTCAATCACTGCCTGCTTGATTCGTACCGAAATTTGTAGCTACTTGGAGGGAAACAAATCAGGCAAAAGGTCGGCATTTACGCAAATAGTAAGCCTCGAAAACCATAAGCTTAAAGGTAAAGGCAGCCTAGCGCTGGGCGACACTCAACAGCTCCCCTTACGGCCACTGTCGCCAACGCCTAGCCTCTGAGTAGACACCAGAGCGCAGGACTCAACGTCAACGGCTGTGCGGCTCAGGAGGAGCACGTACGCGTTCTGCGCCAGGGGAAGTCTTTTCTTAAAGGACCCGGAGGCGGGCCGTAGAGGGCGGTATAGTTTCGAGCAACACACAGGAGCTTCCGTCCACGAGTAATAGTGATTGGTGGATTCTAGGAGATGGGCGGGGCCTCGAGAAATTCGAATGGGAAAGGCGGCCTGAAGGAGAAGGCTGAATGGACTCGGGGCTCCCAGCTCAGCCGAGACGGCGCGAGATGGCGGCCGCGACCTCAGGTACCGGAGCTTGGCCTAGATGGGGTGGGGGACCCGAATCTGGAGCTTTACGAGGTAGTGAGTTGGGATCTGGTCCAGCTTCAGCGAGTTGTCCCTGGGAACGGCGCAAGGTCGGAATTGGGGGGAAGGGGGCAGAGTAGGGATCCCGAACTGGTCAGCCCTCCTTTCTCCTTTTGTTTGCCGCTCCCCGCTCGGGTGTACTGATTGAGACTAGGCTGCGACACAAGCCTTTCGTTTGAGCCCTTTGAACTTTTCCTTTCTGAGCTTCAGTTTCTTCGTCTGTAAAATGGGGGCAATAACTTCATCTCAGATTACTTGTCAGTACTCGTCTGTCAGTTTGTCGTACTGTGGTGGCCTGTGTGTTGCTGTTAGGCTGGGAGTTATGCCATCAGTATTTCAAATACCAGCAGAGTCATCCGTGGTGGACAGGTTTCAGGGGCGCTTCCAGGGTAGGATGAAGGATATGGTAGCCCACTTCGGAAAAAACTGGCCACTGAAAATCTTATGAATAGCAGTGAGCCGTTGTCTGTTATAGTAGGACCAGGCAGTGTTTCGTTCTGGTGTCCACAGGGTCTCTATGAGTAGGAACTTACTCCATGGCCCCTAACAAAAACACATTATTTGAGTAAGTGCGCAAAAAGTGGCCAGCACTCTAACCGTAAGGACACCAAGAAAGGAGCTGGGTGCATGTTCTGGGGAAAGGGTTCGTGCGTGACCTGATGCTTGGGTATGGGAGATCCCTGAGAGGTGCAAGAGGGCAGGCTGTGGATCACACAGACCAGCAGCCAGGTGGGAGCTGACAGCCTTGTTTGACGACAAAGATTAAGAGGCGCCAAGACCACAGAAGGGGAAACTGTTTGCTTTCACTCTAACCATGGAAGTGAATACTATTTTAGGGTTGGAAGGGCTGTTAGGACACCCAGAATCTTGTGTTTGTTTACATGTGTTTGTCTCTCCCCTCTAAAGTGTGAATTTTGGTCAGCAATCCATAGTGTTAGACACCATAGTTATTTATGTTTTTCCTGTTTGTTAGGCCTTGTGGGGAAACAAGAAGAATGTCTAACACATTTTGAGCCCTTACTGTGTTGCCAGGCACAGTTGTAAGCACTTTGTGGCAGTGAATCATTCAATTAACACAGAATTACCAGTTGGTTGTTATTATTGTCCGTTTTACAGATAAGGAAACTGAGGCATAGATGGGTTACATAACTTGACCAACGTAAAGACAGCTAGTAAATAACAGGGCCTGGGTTTGCAGTCTGAGTCGGGAGCCTCTGTTCTTAACCCTTATGCCCAAACACATGCTGTTCCTTCTCCACACATCCATCCCGCACTCCTCCAAGGCTTGTCACATCTGACACATTGTAGATACCATAAAAACATAAGAATGAATATTATCTCTACCCTAGGGGAGCTTATAGTCATGTAAATAGATACAATGTGATGAAACACATATAGAGATGTGTACAAACTGCTGTAGGGAAGTAGAATATGAAGCCAACCCCTGGAGATTTCTGGGAAGACTTAAGGAGGTGATATTTGAAGTAGGTTTCAGAGATTGAATAGGAGTTTGCCAAGCCTTGGTGGGGAAGAAAAGAGCACAAAGTGTTTTCTTCTTAATGATGTAAACAGGCCAGAGATGCTCTCTTTGGCTCAACTTCCTCAGCAGTGGAAGAGACAGGCAAAAGTTAACCTGAATGAAACTTGAGACTTGGGGAAAATTAGAAATGATCACTAAGCCTCGCCCAATATCAAGGTTGCTTTTAAGAGGAAAGAGATAGATTCTTGTGCTGTAAGCAGTTGTTTCTGTGTGCCCCTCCCCTTCTTCTGTACACTGTGAGCTCTGGGGCAGGATGGCAATTCACCACTTTTATGATGAAAACAGGAAATAAGCCAATGTTTTATGTTCTGTTAGGACTCTAACTGCACTATGAAAGGAGCAAGGAAGGCAAATTGCACCTTGATCGCTAACGCACTAACTGCATGGCGAGGATGAGCATGAATGCAGTTCCCAGATGGAAGTGGATCCGGGCCTCGTCTTCCCACATCTCCATGCCTCATCCCATGGCACATCCTCTCTCTGCCTCTAACCACCCAGACTTAGGTCAGACTTCATCCCTAACCACCCTGAGCTAAGTCAACATCCCTGGCCACCCAGGGAGGGGGCAGATCATAGGGACCAGCGCTAGGCTCAGGAGTCTGCACAGTGCCCTGCCATTCAGACCAGATGGCCTCCCTCTCTCTCCCTAGTCCCCTGGGACTAGGTCACAAACTCGAAGGGCTCTACCCTTCGTCAACCACCTGTGCAGCCTTCCCTGACCACCAGCCACCTGGGGCTGGGTCTACGCGAAATCATTCTGCCCTGACTGCCCCTGCTGGCTCACTGCCTTCTGTGGGCTTGTTAATTCTCTATAATGCCTCACAAATGGAGGTCCTTTACTTACCAAACCAGTACCAAACCCATTGCTGTCAAGTCATTTCCAGCTCATAGCGACTCTATAGGACAGGGTAGAACTGTCTCATAGGGTTTCCAAGGCTGTAAATCTTTTTGGAAGCAAACTGCCACAACTTTCTCCCATGGAGCAGCTGGTAGATTCAAATGGTCAACCTTTTTGTCACCAACTGCGTGCTTAACAGGGTGCCACCGGTGCTCCTTAGAAAGACATGTTGTTTGTTGTTGGGCACCACTGAGTGGGTTTCAACGCATAGTGACCGCACGTACAACAGGATGCAACACTGCTTGGTCCTGGGCCGTCTTCACAGTCATTGCCTGGCTTGAGCCCCTCATTGTTGCCACTGTGTCCATCCATCTCCAGAGGGTCTTCTCCTTTTCCACTGTTCCTCTACCAAGCACGATACCCTTCTCCAGGGACCGGCGCCTTCTGATAAGATGACCAAAGTACAAGAGACAAACTCTGGCCATTCTCACTGCTAAGGAGCATTCCAGCTGTACTTCCTCAGAGACAGATTTGTTTGTTCTTCTGGCAGTCCATGGTATATTCAATATTCTCCCCCAGCACCACAATTCAAATGCATCAATTCTTCTGTGGTCCTTCCTTATTCATTGTCCAACTGTCACGTGCACATGAGGTAATTGAAAAGTCAATGGCTTGGGTCAGGCGCACCTTAGTCTTCAGAGTGACATCCTTGCTCTTCAACGCCTTAAAGGTCTTTTGCAGCAGATTTGCCCAATACAATCCATCATTTGATTTCTTGACAGCTGCTTCCATGAGTGTTGATTGTGGATCCAAGTAAAACGAAGTCCCTGACAATTTCAATCGTTTCTCCATTTATCATGATGTGCTTCTTGGTTCAGTTGTGAGGATTTTTGTTTTCTTTCTGTTGCGGTGTAAGGCATAAAGAACCTTCATTGCTCAGGCTGTTTTCAAAACCTTGAGACAAAGGCCAAACAGAATTCTTTGTCTCCCACGTTTATTCACCAAATCTTAATAGTTTAGCATGTTCTCTCTGAGGACCCATTTTGTGCCAGGCATTGGGGATATCAAGGTGAGCAGGGTGAGACTTATTCGCACAGGGTTCACAGCCAGATGGAGAAGGCAGACACACCTGCAGTTACAATGGAGTGTGATGAGCGCCTGAGGAAGGTGCTAGAAAGAGCTATGAGTGCACCTAGCAGAGGCTTAGCGTGGTAGAGGTGTCTACCAGGGAAGAGTGCTGAGCCGGAGGTAAGATTTAGATGTTTACCTCAGTTGCTTGGGGGTGGGGTTGGGTGGTGAAGGGGATGATGAAGAAAATATTCCAGAGAGAGACTAGCATGTACAAAGGCTCAAAGGTGTGTGAGAGAACATGGTGTGTTATAAGAACTGAAAGAAGAAATTCATTACGGCTGAGATCTTACAGCGCAAGGAGGGAAGTGGAGAGCATGACTGGATAAGAGAATGGCTGGAGAGGAATGAGACTGGAGGCAGGGAGGCCGGCTGGGAGGCTGTTGCAGTCATTCAGCTGAGATGGACAAAGACAGGGCAGTGTAGAAGGAGAAGTAGGAGATGAGAGAGAAGGCAGAGGAAAGAAAGACCCCCATCTTTGGGGTTGTGTCCAGTCATTTGCTTTAGAGACCACAGTAGGAGGCTGAGGTTGCAGAGACGGGGCTGCGTTCTTAGCATGGGTTGAGTTTTTGAGGTTCCTGGGGACCGTAAGAGGAGGTACCAGGGCAGCAGCTGGGAATATGGATCTGCAGTTCAGGAGAGAGCTCTAGTGCGTAGGTGCCAATTAGAAGTCATCTGCTTTTAAGATTGTCATTGAAGCCAAGAGAGCAGGTGACTGTGCCCAGGAAATGAAGCAGGGCAGTGGTTTGAAATGGGGGGGGGGGTGGTGGTGGAGAATACACAACCTCTCCCAGGAGACATTTTGTGAGGTTTGGAGATATTTTTGATTGTTACAGCTTGGGGGTGGGGGGAGGATGGTATGCTATAGAGGCCAGGGGTGTGCTAAATAAATACCCAGCAGTGAGACGCGCCCTGAACAACAAAGGATTATCCGGCCTAAATGTGAACAGTGCCAAGGCTGAGCAACCTTGGTCTAGAAAGAGGAGAGGAGGAAGCTAGGAAAATCATCCAACCCTGACAGAGACTGAGGAGTCAACAGAGAACTAGCAGGACAACCAGGAGAGTGGGTGGCATGGAAACTAAAGGGAAAGTTTGCCTCCCCAAGGAAAGCAGATCTGGAGTGTGAGCGCACGGGGACGTCATCTAGGGCAGAACCAACATGACCACTCATTTATTCAGCAGTGAGGGGGTTGTCTTAGTTATCTAGTCCTGCTGTACCAGAAATACCACAAGTGGGTGGCTTTAACAAACACATTTATTTTCTCACCGATTAGGAGGTTAGAAGTCTGAATTCAGAGTGCAGGCTCTAGGGGAAGGCTCTCGCTCTGGAGAAAGGTCCCTGTCTCTCCTCTGCTTCTATTCATCAGGTATCTTCACATGCCTTGCCATCTATGTCCCCCATCTCAGGTTGCCTAATCTGTTCCTTTTATATCTCAAAGGAGATTGACTCAAGAGACACACCCTACACTGTTACCGTCTCATTACCCTAAGGAAGAAAACCCACTCCCAGAGGGGGTTAGAACCACAGGTAGAAACCAGGGCTTCCACTTGCATTCAGTCATGGTTGACAAAGTCTTCTAACTTTTTCTAAAATGTGGGCGATCCCGAAAGGGAAAATTTCAGGTCGAAGCCCTGGAATGGGGGACTTGAAAGAGGCTTAGTGAGGCCTTTCAGCGCCTGATGTGGATTATTGCCAGGACTGTAGAAACCCAAACCAAACCAAACCAAACTCACTGCCATTGAGTCAATTCCAACTCATAGCAACCCTTTTTGGGTTTCTGAGGTGGTAAATCGTTATGGAAATAGATTGCCCAGTCTTCCTTCTGCAGAGGGGCTGGGGGGTTTGAACTGCCAACCTTTTAGTTAGCAGTCAAATGCCTTAGGCACTACTCCACCAGAGTAGCTACTGCCTGAGCATGCCTGCCTGATGCTGTGCTAAACATTGTATGTACAGTATTTCTTTGAATCCTCAGTCTTACATTGTGAGTATTCAACAGATACTTTTATTATTTTTATCAAGAGAAATGGAGGCTTGGAGAACTTTGACCTCCCCAAGGTCAAACGGCTAGTAGAGGGTACTTGTCTGTGACTCCTGAGCCATTGGGAACGCTAAGATGAAAGTGCTGGGGAGGCCTGGGGTTCCAATCGTGGACCGTCTTTGGAAGCTCTGTCACTAACTAGCAGCTGACCATGGGCAAGTTTAACCCTGCTATACTGAGGTTTCCTTATTTGGCAAGTAGGAGATGAATCTAAAACAAAACAATGCATTTTACCAAGTACTAAATACTATCCTAAGGACTTCTGGTGGCACAGTGCCTACGGCATTTGACTGCTAACCAGAAGGTTGGTGGTTCAAACCCACCAGCCACTTGGCAGAAGGAAGATGGGGCAATCTACTTCCATAAAGATTTACTGCCTCAGAAACCCACTAGAGGTCACTACGAGTCAGAATCAACTCGGTAGCGGTGGGTTTGGTTTTGTTTTTGGTAGATGCTACTCTAAACACTTTTATACAAATTACCCTGTTATTCTCCTAACAGCCCAACGCAAAGGTCTTTTTATTTATCCCCATTTTACAGGTGAGGAAATTGAGGCACAGGGATGGAAAAGAATTCCCCCAGGTTATTTAGTTAGTGGTAAGTGGCAGAGCTGAGATTTGAACCGAGACTATCTCAACTTGAATAACACACTTACTACTATGTGGCCCCTGTGCTGGCTTTTTACTTATTTCGTTGAATTCCAAGGCCCATCCCATTTTGCAGATAAGAAAACTAAGGCACAGACCTCCACTATACTCTGCCTGAGAGTGTGATTTGATTCATGTTTATTCCATCCGCCAGCCCGTCCCTGCTCACCCTCCCTAACAAAACACACACACAGTCCTGCCTCACCAGTTCTCCAAGGAAGCCACGCTTTCCCAGCCCCAGGCCTTTGCGTGTGCAGTCCTTCTGCCTGGAATGCATGTGAAGCTCCCAGAATGAAACTATGTCAAGCACCTCCTCCTTCCAGACTCCCGACTTTCACTGCCCAGCAAAGCTGGTTCCTGCCCCTCAATGTCACCACGATAATACAGGTCTAAAACTTCTCTCTCCTGCAGGAGCTGGTCGCTGTCCGCTAAGCAAGGTGAGGGCTGGCCGGCGCCCACCTCCTGCCCGAGTCAGGGTGGCTGTACGACTGCGACCATTTGTGGATGGGACAGCTGGAGCGAATGATGCCCCCTGTGTCCAAGGCCTGGACAGCTGTTCCCTGGAGATTGCCAACTGGAGGAACCACCAGGAGACTCTCAAATACCAGTAGGATTCAGCCCATTTCCCTCTTGTAGGCCTGCTCACAGTATCACTTGTCGAGTGTGTCTCAGACCCACCTCTCCAGGATGCTTGATCCCGCCTTAGCACAGCTTTGGCCCCCACCACTTTCATTTGTCCACTCAGGAAATGCTAAGGGTTACCTATATGCCAGGTGCCCTGTACAGGACACTGGGGAGAGACTGGAGGCTGACTCACATTCTTGCTTACAGTCTCCTGAGGGCGGTGGGTACAAAGGGGAGAAGGCAGAGCAAAGATGAGCAGGGGAGCCCCAAGTGGGATCTAGGGGAGTATGGGAAAGGTTGGGGGCAGCACAGACCAGCCAGTCAACCCAGGCAGCAGCTGAGTGGTGTCAAAGAAGATTACCCAGATCTGGGGACAGAATTTTCAAAGACAGCCACTGTAAGGTCCAAAATCTGTGTCTTGTCACTCTAAGTATAAAAACGGTGGTACAGCACTATCTGACCTCCTCTAACATCACCAGAGGAGAGAGAATCACCATCAGTATCAGCCCAGAGCTGATTCCTATGAGGTGGAGGTCAGACGTGCCTCTTCTCACCAACCTTTTCACCAATTCTGACACCAGCTGTCCCTCCCAAGGCACTCTCTACGTCTCTGCTGGGTTGGATGATTTGCTGAAACAGCCACTCAGAAGTCACAGATAATGCTCATGATTATGGGGTTTATTAGGGAAGTAATAGGTTACAATTCATGATCAGGAGTGACTCAGGACATGGTTCTTCAGTCAGGACAGCTCTTCTGCCGTATCTCCAAGCAGGCCTCTCCCTTGCCTCCTGGCCCCCTTGGGCTGGCCTCTGCCCTGCTTGGTGAGATGTTACAGTCAAATGTTACATGTTACCAAGCTCCTTAGCTCTGCTGATAAGTGCCCAGAAGTGTCCTAATCCTCCAGGAAGCCTCCTGCCTGAAGGCACTTAGCTCTTTTGCTCCGTGGATCCGCATCCCACTGTAACTGCCTTGCTCCATGGGCCAGCGAGGCCACCACACCATCTCATACCAGTCTGCCGCCACCATTTCTCCGCTGCCACTTCTTGCCATCTCGTGCTCTCTCTGATGTTACGGCTATCTCTGTCTCCTGGGTCTAGGAGGTTCTCAGCATAAGGATCCTGGATCCAAAGGACACACTCCACGCCTGACTCTTTTCTTGGTGGTAGTGAGGGCCCCTCCTTTCTGCCTCTGGGATGGTTCATTTTAAGCCTAATGGGTTGGCAAAACTGACCAGTCCCCTCATTAGGGTACCATATATCTTATTTGCATAATCCCACCCCACAAAGGTGCCATGCACCTTTTTGCATTATTGGCAAGCTGTCCAGTCCCTTTCATGGGCCACAATCACCATATTTGCATAGTTCTACCTAATCATTTAGTGGGAGTTACAAGACCATGGCAAGAAAGGCCATATAAAAGTGATCTATCACACTGCAGTAGGCCAGAGAGTAGCAAACTGGCCTGCAGATTAAATCTGACCAGCAGTCTATTTTTATAAAGTTTTATTGCAATACAGCCACACTCATTTATTTCACACAGCTGCTTTCCAACTACAATGGCAGAGCTAAGCATTTGTGACAGGAACCATATGACCCACAGAACCTAAATTATTTACTCTCTGGCTCTTTACAGAAAAAGTTTGTTGGCCCTTATTTTAAGCCCTTGACAGTTTGGCTCTGTTTCCTTCCAGCCGCATCCCCCAACACATGCTTTATTCCACGTACACTCAACTCCCTGCTGCTGTCTGAGCCACAGCTTCTCCACCAGCATCCAGTGACTGGGCTGCAGGTGTGTTGAGTCTGTCAAAAGCAGCATCCTCTATTTACCCCATCATGATATACAAATAAACCAAAACCAAACTCACTGCCATCAAGTCAATTCCGACTCACGGTGACCCCCACTGAGTTTCCAAGGCTACAGATCTTTACAGAAACAGACTGCCTCATCTTTCTTCCACGGAGTGGCTGGTGGGTTCAAACCACCGACCTTTTGGTTAGCAGGCAAATGCCTTAACCATTGTGCCACCAGAGCTCCTTCAACATATAAGCACTACTTTCTCTATATGTTGCAATGTGAAAGAGGTTGGGAAGCCCTGCCCTCTCATACCTTGACTTGTCTGTGTGCTATTCTTGAGACCTACAGTTTCCTTCTTTGGCTTCTCTCTGGCGAAAACTTTCAAGGCCCAGTTTACCTCCATAAACCATTTACTGGGTCTGAGGCGTTGAGCTGAGCCAGGTCCCTGCATTTAGCTTATGAAGCCATTCCCTCAAGCAAAGTCCGTTACTCCTCCTAGTGTATTGTCATCTTTGTTTCCTGAATCATAGTCAGGTATAGATATCTGTCCCACCAGATGCAAAACTCCCAAGAGCAAGATACAGATTCACCTTTGTATCCCTAGCAACAATGCAGGGACTTGGACAGAGCAGGTGTCCGGTGGGTACTTTTTAAGGTCTTCGTGCAGGAAGGATGAACGATGGAAACCTTGCTTTTAAATTCAAGGCTGATATTAGGCTCTAGGTCTTGGTGAGAGTGGAACCCTCTGCTCAACCTCTTCTTTACTCCTACCCTTAGGTTTGATGCTTTCTATGGGGAGAGAAGCTCCCAGCAGGACATCTATGCTGGTTCAGTGCAGCCCATCCTAAGGCACCTGCTGGAAGGACAGAATGCCAGTGTGCTTGCCTATGGGCCCACAGGGGCAGGTAAGGGAGCAGACAGGACCAGCTACACATCAGAAAGGGCTTGGGAAGGCAGTTAGGAAACCTCCTGACTTTCCCACTCTTTCCCCAGGGAAGACGCACACCATGCTGGGCAGCCCAGAGCAGCCTGGGGTGATTCCTCGGGCCCTCATGGACCTCCTGCAGCTCACAAGGGAGGAGGGTGCTGAGGGCCGGTCATGGGCCCTCGCCGTCTCTATGTCCTACCTAGAGATCTACCAGGAAAAGGTGAGGCACCACTCTTGTTGAGGAGGGAAGAAACAAAGGGCCAGCATAAGGCCCAGTTCTAGGCCTGCGGCTCTGCTCTAGCAAGGAGGGGAAGGTAAGACGTGGAAAGACAGAGGATGGGGTAGTAGATGGTATAACTCTTGAGATCTGAGCTGAGACTGGTTCCCAGGAAGGAAGTGTATGTCTGGGGAAATGACTTCACCAGTCACTCCCCAAACAGGTACTAGACCTCTTAGACCCTACCTCAGGAGACCTGGTGATCCGAGAAGACTGTCGGGGAAACATCCTGATTCCGGGCCTCACACAGAAGCCCATAACTAGCTTTGCTGATTTTGAGCGGCACTTTCTGCCGGCCAGTCGAAATCGGACAGTGGGAGCCACCCGGCTCAACCAGCGCTCCTCCCGCAGTCACGCTGTGCTCCTGGTCAAGGTGAGGTTCACTGACAGGGGTGGAACCTAGGAGGCCCCTGGAGCCAGAGCTAAGCTCGGGGCCCTTGCTCTTACCCCAGGTAGATCAGCGGGAACGGTTCGCGCCGTTTCGTCAGCGGGAGGGTAAACTCTACCTAATTGACTTGGCTGGCTCTGAAGACAACCGACGCACGGGCAACAAGGGCCTACGGCTGAAGGAGAGTGGAGCCATCAACACCTCCCTCTTTGTGCTTGGCAAGGTGGTCGATGCGCTGAACCAGGGCCTCCCCCGTGTACCTTACCGGGACAGCAAGCTTACTCGCCTGTTGCAGGTCAGGCCACCCATCTCAAGAGCTAAAGGGGCTGGAAAAGGTTCTTGGACCTGCTGGGGTGTTGGGGACAGCAGTCAGCAATGGAAGATCTGCCTCTCACCCATCCACCCTGCCCATTCCCTTCCCTCAGGACTCTCTGGGTGGCTCCGCCCACAGCATCCTCATTGCCAACATTGCCCCTGAGAGACGCTTCTACCTAGACACGGTCACTGCACTCAACTTTGCTGCCAGGTCCAAGGAGGTGATCAACCGGCCTTTTACCAATGAAAGCCTGCAGCCTCACGGTGCGAACTGGGAGAGTCAGGAGGGGAAAGGCCAGGTCTGGACGATTGGGGAACTTGTCGAGGCCACCAAGCATTGGCAGAGGCTGACAGCCCCATCTTCCCACAGCTTTAGCACCTGTTAGACTGTCTCAGAAAGAACTGCTGGGCCCATCAGAGGCAAAGAGAGCTCGAGGACCTGAAGAGGAGGAGACCAGAAGCCCGGAGCCGCTAGCAGCCCCAGTGTCTGCCTCCCAGAAGCTCAGGTGAGTATGAAGATGGCCGTAGGTGTGTCCCATTCCCTGTTGTGTCTGGGTTAGCTGCAGGCAGTGGATTTAGCCTGACAACCTTGAGCAGAAACTGCTGTGGACTTGTTCTCCTCCACTGAATTCACTCAAAACCTCCCTCTAGAATTCACTGGGGTGCTAAGATCAATGCTGCTGCCTGGGGACCTGAGGAGGCCTCCTCCTTGGGCTCCTACCTCCCTCCTTTCCCATTTTCCAACCCCGTTAGGTTATCAGCAAAACCTCCTATTTGGGGGCAGCTATTTCAAAGACTAGAACTTTTGTTTCTTGTTCAAAGAGTAATCTCGACCAGACCTTGCAGGAAAAGAGGATGAGCCCAAATCAAAGGAAACAAGGGGGAGAGACGTCTTACTGAGAGCCCTTAGTCTGTGTGTCCAGCCTCCCTGTGACTTTCCAAGGAGCCAGTTGCTATCCTGACTTGGCTCTGTTTCTACCTTCAGTCCAAACAAAGCCTCTCAAAACTAGGGCCTTCTTCCTTAACTCTGCTAGCCCCTCCTCACGGCCCAGGATGCCCAGTGTGCAGTACTTTTGCCTCCTGTGTGTGGCTACTTGACCCTCCCTGACTCCAAGTTCTAACTTTGCCCTGTAGCCGTTAGCCCAAGGTAAAGCATCTCAACTGTATAGGTCCCAAATCTACTGAACAGAGGTTGACCTGAGGTGGCCAAGGATTAGTGCACACCCTACCCCAGGGGAGCTACTGTATGTAGTTGGGAAAGGAAGCTAAACACACAAGGTTGCCTACTCACTCATGACCCGTCTCAAACTTGTCCTTCCCAAGCCATCTGTCAGTAATCCCCCCTCCCTTGTACACAAACTGAGAGATACACACACATGTGTATTGTGTGTGAACAGACAGACACTCGAGGCTCAGGGATGAGATGAGGTGCATCAGACCCAGACAGACCCTGCCTTCAGGAGGGCTCACTTTTCAGTAGGGGAAAAAGGCTGCAGAGATTAGTAGATGGATGGTACAGAATGCAATGAGGAATCACTGCTTGTTCTGTGAGCGTCAGAAGGGGAAAAATGATTTCCAGCATTCATCCACATATTTTCTGATCCTGCTCCCAGGCACTTGAACAAGACAGTCCCTGCCCTTGCATTGCTCAGAGTATAGTAAAGAAAGACACAGTCAGCTAGGCATCTTGGCAAAGGTGGCATCAAACTGACTTTTGAGAAGGAACAAATGTTAGGTATTGCCATGTGCTAAAACCCAGCTCAGGTTAAATCAGAATTCTGCTTAAGCAGGCCTTCCCTACTGTCCACAGGATAAAGGCTTGGCACTTGAGGTTTTCAGTGGCTCTTGAGTTTCCATGACTGCTCCTCCAAATGGAGAGGCACCCAGCCCTTGCTGTTTCCTTAGCATGCTCTCTTACTTCCCTTGTTAGACTATGCCTCCAGGACAGGGAGGTGTCTTAGATACCTAATACCTGACACTCCATTGTTCATTAAATGCTTGTTCTCATCCGATCTGGCATCCCTGAGAGGTTACCTGGACAGGTGATGATCAATCCTCACTCTACTGATGAAGACACCACACCCTGAAAGGTTGGACGATTTGCTCAGGGTTACCCAGCAAGTGAGCATCAGGGTTCTGGACCCAGAGGATAAACCAAGTTAAGGCATGAGAGGAGAAAGGCAGGAATAATCTGTTCCATCCACTCAGCCCACTGCAGAAGCTAAGCAGTATGGACCCAGTCATGCTAGAACGCCTCTTGAGCTTGGACCGTCTGCTGGGCTCCCAGGGGAGCCAGGGGACCCCTCTGCTGAGCACCCCAAGGCGAGAGCGAATGGTGCTCATGAAGACAGTGGAGGAGAAAGACTTGGAGATTGAGGCAAGTGTTGGGAAGGTGGGGTTGGGATTCCTCTTGGCCTTGAGAAGTAATCCCAGATTCTTTAGGGAGAGAAGGACACTCAGAGGCTAGATGAGATCCAGTTTTTACCCAACAGGGAATTCCTTAGTTCTCCAGCTTTTGCTTGAATGTCCTTAGCAAGGCTGAGCTTTGAAAGATAATTGAGGTCAGATGTGAAGCAATGAGAGAAAGATTCTAGGGAAAAGAACAAACCTTAGACATTGTCCTTTCCTAAAACTCAGCTCAGTTTAAGTCAGGTGTTTGCTTCCCTTCACTGTGTCACAAAGTGGCTTGTTTCACTCCTGGGCATCACAGATTAGAAAAGCAGTCATTATATTGGCCCCCAGCTGTCTTCTGGTATCTTCTCCATTGGTCCTCTTCTTGCCCTTAGATCCCTCACACTCACTTCAAGTGTCCCTGGAGCTGAGTCTGGGTCACATCTGTCTCTCTCCCTGGTCCCTTCCAACAGAGACTTAAGGTGAAGCAAAAAGAACTGGAGGCCAAGGTGCTGGCCCAGGAGTCTTCGGGGGCAAAAGATGAAAACTGCTCTCCCACAATGCTTAGACCCCTTGCCCACCGTACAGTCTCAGTGGCTAAGCCCCTGAAAAAGGCTGTCGTGATGCCCCTACAACTGCGTGAGTATGGCTCCCAGAAAACCAGGATCCCAAAAGGAAGTGTCGGGGCATCTCAACAAACTGCGGTGCATGTCCTCCCCGCGTGCCAGCTTTGGGGAGGGGAGGATCTAAAGCACTGCTGGGTGGGTGTTCCAGGTTATCTCAGAGCAGCTAGGGGATCCGAAATGGGAGAACCAGGTAGCTACCAGGGAGAATGACAAGTGGCCCAGGCCCTGACTACAGTTTCCAATTCCTGCTTTCAGTGCAGGAGCAGGCAGCATCCCCACGTGCTGAGGTCCATATCCTCAAGAAGAGGGGCCGGAAGAGGAAGGTGAGTGTAAGCCTTCACCTCCACTAAAGGGTAGTGAGCTCTAGTGGGAGGAGCACTAGCTGGGAGATAGAAGACTTGGCTGACACCAGCTGTTTGTATTACAAATCTTCCAACTTGGCTCTCTCTCTGACTCAGTTGCTATCTACTAGATACAATGTGTCGCCTGGGTCCTGACCTCTACAAACTTAAGAGCCCACTTAGGGAACATGACCTAACCATGTAAGCAATGAACACTACCAGAGCTACCCCCAAAACAGATAGGATTGGGACCGGGGGGTGGGGGGTGGGGTGGGGGTGTCAGCATTTACTGAGCACTGTTTCCCATGGCTTGGCCAACCGTGAAGGACAGTGTATGCTTGCCATTTTCTGATGAGGGGCCAGATTACAAAGCTTACTGTTTTCCATTCATTAACTCGATTGATCTTCAGACTCTGAGATAGGCACTAGCATCGCCACTCACAAGTCAGATCCAATGGGAACTGGCCCAGAGAATGACCAGGGAAGAGTTTTTTCAAAGACCCGAGGAGGGAAACAGGCTACGCTTCGGGAGTGGGGAATGTGGCAGAAGAGTCCAAAGGGCTGACCTCCCCCTAATCTCATAGCTGGAGTCCCTGGATGGCTCTGAACCTGAGGAGAAAGCTGAGGACTGCTGGGAGCCACAGATCAGCCCAGAGCTCCTGGCCCATGGGCGCCAAAAAATCTTGGACCTGCTGAACAAAGGCTCAGCCCGTGATTTAAGGAGCCTGCAGCGCATTGGCCAGAAGAAGGCCCAGCTCATCGTGGGCTGGAGGGAGCTCCACGGCCCCTTCAGCCAGGTAAGAGCTCAGGGAGGGCAGCACTGGCATCCAGTCGGAGTTGGGGAGTGGGGAAAGTCTGGCACCCGTAGAGCCTTTCTCCACCTTTCTCCAGGTGGAGGACCTGGAACGCGTGGAGGGCATATCTGGGAAACAGATGGAGTCATTCCTAAAGGTGACGTCTCAGCTCAGCCTCCTCTCCTCCCGGAGCCCCAGCTGCCCTCAGCTCTTAAATGTGGCTTCCTTTGCTCCCTCTTGCAGGCGAACATCCTGGGCCTCGCCGCGGGCCAGCGCTGTGCCTCCTGACTGCCGTCTCCTCTACACTCTACCTGTTTGCTTAATCCATATGTAACAGCGTGTTGTATAAATACAGTTTTTATTCCGGTGTTTCAGCCTCATTCTTGGGACTGCGGGAGATAGGGGAGGAGACTCGGGTATGATAGCCCCTTGGATCTGCCGGCAGCTGTAGCGGCGAACTTCTCTGGGGGCCATCTTTGGGAAAACAAGAACCAGCCCAAAAGATAGTAAATAAACCACTGAGATGGGGAGGGGGAAAAGGACGGTGGCCGTGAGGAGGCAAAAAGGTAAAGCGAAAGCTCGAACGACGACCGTTAGGCGAGTACGCGCTTAGCATTTAGCCCCGCCCCATCCGTACCCCCAGCGCGCGCGCCCCCATTCCCGCTCGGCAACGACAGCGGTTTTGTGCGCGTGCGCGCGAAATAACGGCCGCTGGCGGAGGGAGGAGGGGGGTGGAATCGTTGAAGGGGGAAAGAGGAGCAGCCGCCCTGTCTCCCGCGCGCCCACCACCTGCGCTATCATCAGCCAATCAGCGGCCGTCTCAGGGGTCTCGCGCTTGGGGCGACTCCGGCTGCTGGGTGGCTCCCCGTCCCTCCTCCCGCCAGTCCCTCTCGAGCCTGCCCCCCTCCCGCTGGCCTCGCGCGCGCCCGCGCTCGCGCCCGCTCC